AAGCTCGAAGTGAAAGAGCTTGGACCTGATCAGCCGGACATCACAATTACTCAACAGTCCACATACCGAGGAAGACAATACAAAAAGTAAAACACTGCACTACATGTCATTATAATGTTGCTTTTGTTGTTTTCATTTATTTAACAAGGTCTGTTCTGATTTTTTTGGTTAGTTATAAAGATTGTTTTCTGTTGCTTTGGGATAACTGAAATCCTTTTTGGCATTAAATATACTGGTGTGATACATGTTTTCTTGATTTTTGGTATATGTATATTTGGAGCTTGGTATAGCCCCCCTGGAGAAAATGACACCAGCTGCCTCTGGTCTGTAGAGTGCTGTATTAAGCACTCTACAGACAACATTTCCGACTTTTATCACAAAGTATCAAAGGTAATGTATTTGTGTGTGAGATTAGTACTACTGCAATTGTTTGTCAAAAAATGTGTCACAATACAAGACAAATGCTAATCAGTTTGAAATACTGTAGGGAGCAATTGAACAATTACTGTACAGGTGGCAGGCTGCACAACTCCAACTACTTAGTGGTGGTCAGGTTCCCTGTTAGCATTGGGTTTAAATCAGAAATATTGACAAATAGGTGCTTTGTCTCTTCCCTTTGACATCCAATCCTCTGCCATCGTGTTGCTGGTCAATATGCTTTCTCCCATCACAAGTGAAATCTGACTCCTGCAACTCCGCTGCTGCATTACAGAGCAGATACTTTCAGTTTACAACTGTAGCGTCTGTCATCCAACTAGGTAGCCATCTGTTTAAAAAAAAGCAAAGGAACAGTGTTGGCAGTGAACAAGAAATGTAATTGCTGTATGCCCTAAGAACATGGCAAGCCTAGTTGTCAGTGCCCTTAATAATGATACATAGAAGGGCTCTCTGATCTGACTCCTATGATCAGGACAACATCATTTGACTCCTAAAAAAGTTCCAAAAGTTAAAATGACTTCTTTGTTAAGGTTAAGGGACCTTTGTTGTAACGGTGATAATGATAAACACGTGGTTAAGGGTTCAACGTTGACTGTCAGTTGGAAACAAGAAATGACAGACAGCTCTTCTGGGCAGGGAGCTGAACGGATATTGAAGCTTCTCTATCCTATCTACAAAGCCAGACTCCATTAATAAAAACAGTCATTTTACCTCTACCCAGATTATGCTGCACAAGTTGTGTGAGGGTGTGTAAATGGATTTTTTGATGTGTTTTTGTTGTTAAAAGCGGACCCCTATGGCTTCAATTCATCGAGGAATTTCTCTATGGATAGGATTTGGATTTGAAAGTTTTTCTTCACAAATTCAGCGTAATATGTCTGCAGAGAGCAGCTCACAGTAACCTGGTTACTGTGTGTCCTTAACCTCTACCTTGTGAATTATTGTCTTGTGTTAGAACAACGTGATGTGCTCCTCTGTATCACATACGTAACTAATGACAAGAACATTTCTAAATGAAATGGCATTCCAGTTCCTGTTCCTGTGTGCAAATAAAAAAAGAATGCTGAATAAAAGTACAGTTTTATTCAACAGCACTTGACACAGCAGTGTGCACTCATCAAAAGCTTTTTCTTTCTAGTGTCTCAACTGACTTTCAAGGTAGAAGGTAAAGCTATGAGAAGATGAATATGTCTGTATCAATCATAACCTCCCACACGCTCTGATATAATCCTTCATTAACAATCAGTGTCTCACACACAAATGCACACCATGCCCACAAACACGACAAGCAATGCTTTCACCCGATTAACACGGGTAGGTAATTGGATTAATTGCAGTAATTAGAATACTTAATTATGATCTCATCAAAGACAGGGAATTTTAAAAGAGCTATCAAGTGAGACAGATAGTAGGAGAGGGAGGAAGAGACAGATGGAGGGAGAGCATTCACATCAGAAAGAGAATTAAACAGTGTCTGCACTTTCATTTTCAATTTTCACCACTTTCACATACACGCTGTTCAACCCAGCAGGGCTGTTAGAACGACTCCCTTCAGTTCACTTATTGTATTCATCCCCAGTGGAGCAATTAAAAAGTATACATAGCAGAGCATGCATAGATCTCATTATAACACGAGACAATGTAGATAGTGAAGTATAGGACTTGCTACATGGTTGAAAGTGTGAGTGGGAGGTTCCCAATGATCGGAAACAAGCCCAAACTTCAATAAGCTGATCCGAAGGTCACCTTGCTCCTGCTTGTTTCCACAGGCAGCAAAGATATCAGAGTGGAGCCGATTGTGTTGGACTATAGAGTGTTTTCAAGGCCTTCTAAAGGATATGTTATGGCCAGAGACCTTAGAGCAGCGATTCCCAACAAGGTGAACATTTTGCCAAGAGGGCACTTCTGTAGTTACCAGGAGGCATGTGAAGTGTGGAACAGATAATTTGAGCTAATACAGGCTTTGATAGCAAAAATTAAATATGACTCTCCAGTGCTGCCTTTATTTTCTTCAGTGGCAGTGAGGAATTTGGGCCAGGGTTGTATTCAGCCCAGTTGCAAGAAGAGAATGTTGGTATTATGACTTTCTGCAAACCACAGATTCATTACATTTCCACATTTCATACTTGCCATACCAACATCTCTCAAGTGACATGATACATAAGCTGACTTGTATCATCGGGAGGGTGGAGATAGATAATGTGTAAATGAAGCGAGACGTCTGTTAAGCTGAAGACCACTGCAAACCACTGTTCAAAACCAACAACACAGGATGTATTTAGCAGCACATCTAGGCATTTCCAAGCAGCATTTGTGGCACCGAACTTGTATGTATCTAAACAACACATGGAGGCATATCCCAGCTGTATTTGAGCCACCAAACCTCAGAGTTTTGTTCTGCTCCTGGGTGTTCTAGCTGCACATTGCAGTATCTCCCAGTGGTGTTTGTGGCAAGGAACCTGGATGTTATTTACCAAAATACTGAGGCATTTCCCACCTGCATTTGAGCCACCAAATCATGGTGTGTTTTTACCTACACAAACTTCCCCTGTGGCCATCTAAGATGGGTGTTTTTCACTAACACATCACAGCATTTCCCAGAGGCATTTGAGCCACCAAACTTGCAGAGTTTCCCAGCAGCTTTTTTGTGCCAGTAAGTATGGGTATTTTAAGTCAAAACATGATCTTTTCTAAACCATAACCAAGTATTTTTGTGCCTAAACCTAACCACACTTTCACCACAGCATTGTTGAAAAACGTAAAGTTTCAGTGATAACCTGCTTCCCTGTTAATGAAACTCAAAAGAGTCTCTAAACCCATTGGCCAATAGTCTAAAGACGATAAACCTCTGGGGGTACAAGTCAGTAACAATGGGAATCTGGTGTAGCAAACAAATGTCTGGACCAAGACTTCCTGCACCATGCACCAGCCATTTCAGCTATGCACTTTAAACAGATGTATGCATATAAATATAGACACATTTTGTTAAAGCTGGAAAAAAAAGCCTCAACTGTCATCAGATGAATGCACCAGACCAGACTGCATTTCAGCCAATGCATTCTACCCCTCCACACGGACTGTTTATCTGCTGCTCAAACATGATTGGTCAATGGTACTTGAACCAGAGCACTTCCATTACCAAAATCTTGTATTGTTGCCGACAGATTCTGCATTCATAGACAGATTTCTGTTTAAAGAGATACGTTTTCATTCACCAATTAAATACAGTCCTTCTACTTTTCCCCAATTTGCAGATTTTTTTTCCACATTTAAACATTTCTTGACTTTCCATTATTCATAGGCATTTAATGTAAAAGAAAACACAGGAAAGTGCTTGTTGTTGAAGACAAATGGAAATGTGGAAAAAAACTGGAATTAATAGGTGGACGAACAGGCATCTCACTATATAATGACGAAAACTCTGTCTCAGGGTATGTCTGTGTGTCTGTTCCATGTTTTTCCCTCACTGACTTGGTCAATCCATGTGAAATTTGGCACAGTGGTAGAGGGCCATGGGAGGATGCGAATGAAGCAATATTACATCAATTGGCCAAAGGGGGGCGCTATAGCAACTGATTGAAATTGCAAACTTTGAATGGTCTCATGCCCTGTATGTCATAGAGACATGAAACTTTGCACAGAGATGCCTCTCCTCATGAGGAACAAATTTGCCTCAAGAACCCATAACTTCCGGTTATATAGATTTTCCACCATTTTGAATTTTTTGAAAAACACTTCAAATCGATCTCTTCCTAGGAAGTTTGGCCGATCTGCATGAAACTCAGTGAACATAATCTAGGGACCAATATCTAAAGTTCCCTCTTGGCAAAAGTTGGAAAACTTACTAAAACTGAGCTTCTATAAGGCAATGAATATTGCGGAGGGCGTGGCTCATCACATAAAGGTGTATAACATCTCAAGGGTTTCACCGATCACCACGCAACTTTGTAGGCATATGACCACACATAATCTGAGGGGACTCCTCCATTATTGACCCAATCAAACATAATGGGGGCGCTAGAGAGCTAATTTCTTATCTAGGCCTAACCACCATATGGATTTTTACTAAACTTGGTAGATATGTAGAACAGGACGCCTCAAGGTGACTGGAGAAATTTAACTCTAATTGGCAACTGGGTGGCGCTATAACAACAGAAAAATGCTTAAAAATGGCTAAAATGCGACCGATTGCTGTGGCTCCCCCTGTGGCCAAATGTTTGGGTTTTTCTAATTTTTGGTATGACTAAATCATGGTATGGTATGCTGTACATAATCACGGAAACTGTCAGTGTGTCATTCTGTCAGTCAGTCATTCTGTCTGTTCCATGTTTTTCTACTCACTGACATGGTCAATCTATGTGAAACTGCACATAGGCATTGAGGATTGGCATAGGTAGAAGGTGACAAAGCTACCAATGGGTATGGACTAGTGTATTTATATCGAGGAGAAAATTCAGCACACAAATTGGGTCACAAATTGGTATACCACTTTGAATAAGTATAGTTATTATCAGAATAGATAGACTGACTGCACAGGACACACCCCAGTTTCCCACCAACCTTACATATGTTGCAATTGCAGGATCCCTTCATCATTGTCTCTGTGGTGAACAATTCCAGGAGAGAAATCCCATCTAGCGAAGGGGCAGGATGAAGGGGCACTGGAGCCCTCCTGATGGGCTATGGGGGATATGTGAGACAAAGAAAAGGTTGAAAACCACTGCTTCAGAGGACTTGTGATGTTGGAACACGTATTAATAACATTCTCCTCTTATTCTGGAGAGCGAGTGGACTGGAACTAACATATCATGAAAAATGTAATGATACTCTCTGTGAGGCCATTGTAAAAAGCTAACACATTTCATGGGACTTTGAAAATGCCAGAATGGAACAGAAACCCACAGAGATGCCAATCAAGTGAGAGTGATTTACTATTGTGAAGAATATATTTGAATGACCTGCCATTAATACATGATGGTCATTATGATGAACTCATGAGACAAAGGGAGTCTAATGAAGGACATAACAAAACAACGGGAACAGAATGGGAGCGCAGATTAGCAGCAGTGTGTTTGGTTGACGCTCCCTGGCACGCAATGGGCTTTTATTGAAGGTGTCACAGGAGAAGCGAGCAGATGAATGATATCACACACACACACACGCACACACACACACACACACACACACACACACACACTATCAATCAGCTCACACATACAGTATGTCCACCCACACATACCATCAAACCAAACTGGCTGAGCAAAATGAGACTCTTTCTTTTTCTCTCTCTCTCTCTCTCTCTCTCTCTCTCTCTCTCGATCTCTCTCTCTCTCTCTCTCAGGATTCCTATTGCCTGTGCCGTGATGAATATATCATCGGCCCATTTTCACCAAACAACATGGCGGTTCCCACACGCTATGCAGCTCCGCCCTATCACTTTCAGTTAGATGAACATGGGGTTACGGCAGGACTGGTGGAGAATTTAAATACCATGCATGAGAGAGGAAGAGAGGGATGCATGAGAAATCAGGGAGAGAGGGTGAGTGGGTGGGGAAAGAAAAAAATACAAGGGAAAAGGAGAGAGACGGAGAGGAAGGAAAGTGCTATCTGTATCTGCCCGATCAGTTTCACTTAAGTTAAACAGGAGCTGTGGTGAATGGGGAATAGCTTGTGTTGCAGAGCAATGAATAAAGGAACGGTGGGTGAGACTGAAGAGAAAGAAAGAAAGAAAGAAAGAAAGAAAGAAAGAAAGAAAGCAAGCATCAGATGAATGAACAAAGTAAGAAATCAGGATAAAAGACAGAAAGAAACCATGGAAAGTAAGAAAAAAAGAATTAAAACATTGAAGGAAAGAAATAACTGAAGCACTGAAACTGAGAAATATAGTAAAGCAAGACTGTGCCCCTTCTTTTTGAAATTTTTGAAAATTTCCCTGCAAACTACAATAAAAAGTGAATATAATAAATACTCTGATATGAAATTAAGCTGTAGCTATCTATGGCTCAGCTCTGTAACAGCTTACCCCCACCCCTTTGTCACTACTACTTATGGGTAAAGCTATAGCTTGACATGGGTGCAACTCACTGCCTGCTCTGATGTTTGATGATAATGGAGGAGAAGAGGATGGCAAGTCAGTCACACAGTGTCAGGCACACAAAAAGTGAGATAAAGCAGAATTGACATTGCCTAATGGCTATGAAATTATTATTATCATATCTTTAAAATGAATACACTGTTCATTATACACACCAGTTTGGAAAAAAAACTTTAAAATAAAACACTCACACATATCTGGGATCTGTCTGGGATCTAGGACATGCTCAAGTCAAGTTGTGTGAGGAGTAAAAAAAATATTTCCCCTCATAGAGTCTACAGATATTCTTACTCCTGGAAATAGTGCCACAACCTGCAGGAGAATCTCTACCACTGGGCCAAATTTCACATGGATTGACCAAGTCAGTGAGGAGAAAAACGTGGAACAGACACGAGACAATCTGATAAATCAATTTTGGTTCATCTGCTCACATGAGGTTTAAGAAAGACCATGTACTGTGATGAGGATTCATGAGTAGAAAATGCTTTGGTTTGAGAGTGTTTTTACACCTAACCTACTATCAATCAAACTGCACATGACACAACTGTACAATAATGACATTAAAGGGTGACTGTTGCTGTCCATGTGTGGTGTAAAAGCAAGACAGACCAACTGCTCCATTTTATGATCATCTGTATGATTTAGCACAAGTTTAAAAGCTTAGATACTTTAAAATCCATCTTCTGGACATGAATTGTTCACAAAACGTTCTAACAAACCATTTGTGTAAGTGATAAACATATTTATGTAATATATTCGTTAACCATGGCAATATATATGCATGGGTGCAATGTAGAAATTTTCCCTCCCTGTTATTTCAGTCATTGATCTGTCAGATGAGGACTCTATGAGCCAGAGTAAAGACAAACCAGACCAGAGCTAAAAGGGGATAATGTTTCAGTTTAAACTTTGTGTGGACCAAATCTACAGAACTCAGGTTTAAAACACAAACTGTATGAAAATAACTGACGTAGCAACCATGATGTTACCCATTAACTTTTTTTTTTTTTTTTTTGGAGTCTGGCATTTGGCAGTTGCCGTCTTGGATTGTTGGAGCCAGAAGTGGCCATTTTCAGACGAGAGGGTGGAGCTTACGCTAACACTAGCTGTTAGCTTGGTTAGTATGGTGCATTTACAGCTATGGTTAACAATCATAATGGTAACCTCATGGTTACATTTCCTGACCAACTTTGTTGCTGTGGTAGTGACTTTTTAGCAGACAGCACCCATCTGTCACTCAAAGCAACCACGCCCCTAATTATGCAATATGCATTAATTAAACCTAAATGACATAACAGTTGAGTTATATAAAAACTCATCCCTGGTATAGTTGTCATGAACAGGGAAATTAGTTATAGAGATCAAAACTGTTTTTTTCTACCCGGCTGTAAACATATGTATTATATTTCTGCTGAAAAGTTGGGCACTTTAGAATGGGGGTCTATGGGGACTGACTTGCTTCTGGAGCCAGCCTCAAGTGGACATTAGAAAAACTGTAGTTTTTGGCACTTGTGAATTCACGGGCCAAAACAGCTGTTTTGTTTTCTTCCAAGATCCCTTTCCTCATCCCTGCCCCACAGTCAGTTCCAGAAAGCTACTCAGAACTACTACAGCATGGCCTCTTGGGCTGACTTTTCCTTTCAGTCCAGGAGGACATAACAACTTTACAGTCATTACCCCGCTGCTTTAACTGTAGAGCCCCCCTGCAGCAGTATGGGGTTTGAGAGTTTTCAAGCACACTATATGCACTCCTTCACTGGGCCTGATGCAAGAACATTTATGCTTACCCTAAACTTTTCAGTGAGGATTCACTTGAGTATGAGTGTTAGTACGTTGGATAATGGCATTCATCTGTATTAAATTCCTTGAACTTGATCAATGACACCTGTAGCTACAATAAGTAGTTGTTGTGAACATTCCCATAATTAATGGCCTCAGATTGCTGTAATATGATACTTATTCTGCTCCATTAGTCGGCAAGTGTCATACACAAAAATGGCACCCAAGGGTAAAAAGAACTTCACAAGTGCAAAGCTCACAGTGTGAGGAGTGCTGCTACACTGCCTGCTTTCACCACATCCAGTGAGAGATTTTTGTCAGTATTAAAGCAGCTCAAGAAATAACTAAGAACAAAAAGTACATTTTGACAGATTTCTGATTAATGACTTATACTGACAAAATTAGCATTAGCCTACTAATACATGACCCGCTGTTGGGTAAAAGGGGTAATATAGAATACTAGTCCATACCAGATTATGTGAGCGGAGCGGGTGAAAATTTCCATGAGCATGGTAGATTCTCCGGGGAAGCCCTCTCCCCTCACCCCGCAGTTAGGGACCGTTCTCCAAGGTACCGCTGCTTCTCTTCTCAGTTTCTTTTCTGAAGTACACAGAAAACTCCATAGTTTTGAAAGAAAATAGTGTGGGTGGCACAGATGCAAAGATGCATTCTGGGTGGGGCATGAGTGACCGGAGCGAAATTGGAGTGAGAGGTAAGGCTCCGCTCCACCTTTTAAAAAAAATAGCCGCTCCTCACTCAACACAAAATCCTTCCGCTCCCCGCTCCGCTCACATGCTCTGGTCCATACCCATTGAGTGCACAGTTGCCCACGTACAGTTTCACATGGTGTGTGTTTGGGATACAGGTCATAGGAAATTGCAGATTAAATAGTCAACTGAACCCATTAAGAAGAGCAATGTATTCAGACAGAGTTTTTGTGAATTTGATAGTACGATTGCTTTATTGAAAGTACAGTAGTACCATTGCCAATAGTGGGATAGTTAGTGGGCTAAAACTGTACATTAGTAGTTGAGGTAGCACGTTGAAAGGCAGATAGTTAAAGTGTTTATATGTTGTATTGACTTAAAAGTGGGGCGCACTGGTAGTTCACATGGGAAACATATCTTGACCACGTCAGTGAGTAGAAAAACGTGGGACAGACAGAATAACTGACTGACAGAATGATACACTGACAGTTTCCGTGATTATGTACAGCATACCATACCATGACTTAGTCATACCAAAAATTAGAAAAAAAAAAAAAAACATTCAGCCACAGGGGGAGCCACAGCGATCGGTCACATTTTAGCCATTTTTACTATTTTTAAGCATTTTTCTGTTGTTATAGCGCCACCCAGTTAGTTGCCAATTAGAGTTAAATTTCTCCAGTCACCTTGAGGCGTCCTGTCCTACATATCTACCAAGTTTAGTAAAAATCGATATGGCGGTTAGGCCTAGATAAGAAATTAGCTCTCTAGCGCCCCCATTTTGTTTGATGGAGTCAATAATGGAGGGCTCCCCTCAGATTATGTGTGGTCATATGCCTACAAAGTTGCGTGGTGATCGGTGAAACCCTTGAGATGTTATACACCTTTATGTGATGAGCCACGCCCTCCGCAAAATTCAAAATGGCGGAAAATCTATATAACCGGAAGTTATGGGTTCTTGAGGCAAATGTGTTCCTCATGAGGAGAGGCATCTCTGTGCAAAGTTTCATGTCTCTACGACATACGGGACATGAGATATGCCTATTCAAAGTTTGCAATTTCAATCGGTTGCTATAGCGCCCCCCTTTGGCCAACTGATG